GTACTTTACCCTGGGGCAAGGGGTGAAAAAATCGCTAAAATACCCCGGGGTGGACACTCTAGTAATAACTTGACAAGTAGAATAGTTACCCATTTTGTATTTTTAATTTAATTTCGGTGCCTAAAACTTACTTTTCAATTACTATGGTTAAAATGAAATGTGTGTTACCGCACTAATCGAGTATTATGCACGCACTAATCGAATATTGGTTATAAAAAAATTTAAGTGCACTAAACGAAAACGCATCAATCGAGGGATCCCTGTATCTTCCAAGTATGATTTTGCTACTCTTTTGTCATAAAGTTAATACAATAGATCTTCCCATCTTGGTTCTTGAACAATGGAAGTTAATACTTAGTAATGATGACCCTGATCAGTTAGCACTATCAGAATGCTCTTTATCTGGTATACAAAATGCATTCTAATGGCTAATTAATTTTAATGTTTACTCAACACTAGCTGTGATGCGTATGTAGGCCTACTGCTCGTCTTTGGCCTATTAATACTGTTACGCCTCCAGTCGTTAGTTGATTTTCCGTAACTTCGTTCCGACGAAACTTTAGCGACACAAGTCTTTACTTAATAAAACTGGTTTATTCTTTCCGAATACAACTTTACGATACACTTATTTTCAACAGTCGAGCTATAACAAACACTATAACAACGAATGTTAACTTCAACAATACTTTCTGACTGCAGTTCAATTACTCACTACCTACACACACAATACACCGTTTTCGTCACGTTGTGAGCGTCTTATATATATATACCAGACTAACACTATATCTAGTAATCTCCTGACAATTCACGAAGGTTCGAGAGAACGAGTGGCGTGACACTAGTCACGTGACCTCGTTGACGCAACAATACCTACTTTAATCCTAAAAATGTTTTAACTTCAGTATGGCATATTTTAGGTGGTTACTGGGAAAATACATTTTGTTGCAATATTTACAACTGAAAGTATCTATTTTTATTCTGGTTTATTTATTATTAACGTTAGGAAGTACTGCCCTAACAGTAACATAACTCGTATTTATACCCAGTCTTACGTGATAATCTAAACTAGATCACAGTTATTCAAATCACCGAACTCACAAAATGACCAACAAAATGTAGTATGGATTGCTCATCTTTATTTCTAAAAGCACAAGAGTACATATACATTCCACAAGTCATCAAACCATTCTTACAGGCTTAGGCTTGTTAACAGAAGTGATCTAGAATGTTCTCAGCCATTACCAAATACCAATTGACTGACTAAATGTAATTAGTGCATTGAAACTATTTACCAGGTGGTAACCCAATGTACAAAGTAGACTTGTGGTGGTTTATAAGTTCACATAACCGATGTTACTTATATGTGTCTAGTTTGCGGTATGTTATTTACGCATCTATAAATTCAAGCCATTAACTATATATCAACTATTGCTCAGTTCCCATCTGTATTTGAAAAATTAAAGGTTAATATCACCAGTTATATTCCAAGTGATATTACTGGTAAGTTACTTTTACTTATTATTATTATTTACCTTATCAAATATGACTAATTCACCAGAACATTTAATGCTGCAAAAAATTATCAGTTCTTAACCCTATGTGAATGACATTTGTGCATTGTACTATTCTCCATTTCTAGAAAGCTATATATAGCAATCTTTACTATAATTTTGGATATACTATGTGTACCTAAATAAAATTTGGAAAACTTTTAGTACATATTACAAATTTGTTGCACACAACAAAAATCTGTTTTTTTAATAAAAATTTTTATGCATTTACTGAGTCAGACTGTGGATTTGTCATTCTTATTTATATCTAAGTAAAGCAAGAAGTTTGGAGACTATATAAGTTATGGCTCAGTAATATCTTCCTATAATTTGTGAGAAACTCAAGTGATCCTATAGGGCTAGAAATAAAATCTAAAATTGGCAATTTGGAATGAAGAAGTGTTAAGTGATACAGAGAAATGAAGATAGAGAATTTGTGTAAATATTTCTTCATATTAAGAAATTAAAATATGAATTATAAACTATGGTTTGATGACAAGTTTACTGAAATACATGTAAAATAAAATAAATTTCGAATGCAACTGTAAAAGAGGTTGCGACATGCACACTTTTACCCCACCATACACATAGGGTTAACACAGAATCAGCAACAAAAATTTTCAGTTTGTCACAGTAAATTCTATTGATCCAAGATGACCTACTCAAGAGTCTATATAATTGTCAATGACAAATGAAAGACTTAATTTGCACAGGAGCTAATGTTTATACAATCACAATGCAAATCAACAGAGCAAATCAAAACAAAAAACATTATGAAGATTTATGGAAGGATATTGTTCATAAAACCTGTGTTCAGAAAGCAAACTTCTTTTTAGCATACTTTTTTAAACAAGCTAAAATAACAAAATTATAGCTTAGTTTTAAATTTCTAAAATTGGTCATCATTTATAACAAACCAAAAGTTTACAGAAATAAAGATGAAAATACACAAGAGGGAATTCTCAACTGCCACGACTTTAATTAGATCTCAAATCGGTCAAAAGATGAAGGTATGAGCCAAAAGTTTGTACTTGAAAAAAACACTCGCCATTCTATTAGCCACTGTGCCGTGGCTAAAAATGCAACAAAAGTAAAAAGACAATATAAAGTAAACATTGGAAAAAAAACAGGCTAAATTAAGTAAAACAAACATAAAAAAAAAACTACTTTTAGGTGCAGAGATCCTTACCAAGGAAAGATTAAACCTATATGTTGAGGGTAATTACTATGCAAATTAAATCAGAGCATGCACAATGTAGATGCAAAAATGATACCTGTATAGAAATTTTTACATGTCAGGAATTCGTACAAATAAAAGTTGAAAAGAAAAGGGTAAGTTAATTTTGGATATTTAAACTTGATGTTTATATAGCACTAGCTGGAGTACCCATCTGATGGACGAGTAAAATAAAAACTAGTTTGTAACAAAGGATAGGAAATTGTGCTTCTATTTTTTTTTCTTAACATAATAAACTTTAAAAGTGCAATAACAATACATAAAGGTACCAAAATTGAAAAGAAAGACATAATGTTTTCAACAATTCTATCAAAATGAAATTATGTTATCCTGTATCACTGTGTCAAGTTGTGCTAATTTGGTAGTTTTTCTTAAATTGGATATGAAATTGTATGGGGGGTTTGTAATGTGTTAGTTTTACACTCATAACATGTGTGCTCCAATTTTACTGGTATTTAAACTGAATATATTTGTTTAATTGTCTTTTTTGTGAAACGTTCCTGCACCAAAAGCTAGTTTTTTTTCCTGCTCATATTACTTAATGTATATACATTTATATATATATTTATAACTTTTAAATAGTATATTTTTATTATTTTTTAATAATTTTCAACATGTGTAATGAGATTCTTTTTTACATATTATCCAAAAAAAGCAGTTAAATCAACTCACAAACTTAAAAAACAAAAACATAATAACTAAACTATTTATTAAAGATTAGAAATACTATCTTTTAAAAAAAAACTACTACTCGCAAGAGCCAGCTCTATGTATTTTGCTATCTTAAGCACAATTTTAAAATGCTGTTTCCAGCAGTATCTGTGTGCTATTATTATGAATAAACATATATATATGTAACATTAGAAACACAGTCACAACCTATAGTAAACATTTATTTATGTAGGCATATTAATTTTTCTTTATTTTTTTTTAACTTGAAAAGTGTAAAGTACTTCTTTAACTTTCTTAAATTTAGTAGAAGCTGGTTTAATATTTGAACTATCTTATAATACCTGTGCTTATGAACAGTTTACAGGTCAGTAAAAGATGGCAAAGAATGTAAAGTAAGTGCAATATAGTTGATTCTCTTGAAACAAAGATTATTGTAAAATATTTTTTTCATTTTGCCACCCTAGGCAATTGCCTACTAAAGTTAGGCCTGGTACCTATAACATTTTTCTTTATTTCAGTAACTTTCATGACACGTAATTATTTCTTTGCAATTTACAATAATTATCTTTCTGCATTTGTTTAAAGCCTTTATATTTTTCAAAAACTAGAACTGCTTCTTAAGATCTAACAAAAAATAATCCCTTACAATTTTTATGAACACTTGAAAAGTCAATAACATCATTTTTTTCTCATTATATTACGTAGTTTCTTGTACATTATTCAACAACTATGTCTGAACTGGTATTTATTGGTTCATACTCAATTTTCACTGGTTCTTGACACAGTAGCCACCTATAAAAGAAAATATAAAATCAAAATAGTATTAACAGCATTTCTCAAATGTTAGTACTCCTTCAGGTAAGTACATATACTCTCAATGCAATGTGAATGAAATAGGAATAGAAATGTAAATATTTGTTGGTAAGACCATGAACGTATCTTTGTCTAATATATATTTGATAGCAACTGTCTGCTTATCTTTGAAGCTAAATCCATACTTTCTTTCAAAAACTGATTATTTTTCATCATTCACCTTGTTAAAAATTATACAGGAAATTGACACAGGAGGTTGTGATTGCACAAAATCTACAGTTCTGTGATTTCACTGGTTACCTGATCCATTTTTCATTAGGCACATTCAAGTCTTCATAAATCTACTGTACTGAGATATAGGGTGTTGAATTACTATCCATGGTGTTCTGTTTTTCCTTACTGGAATTATGCCTTCTCTTGCTTTACTGATATAGTTTAGCACTAAAGATATCACTTTTTTTACAAATTCTAAAATCCTCTGCCTTACATGTTTTTATAATTGTGGGATTGGAAGGATTTGTACCAGATAATCCTGTTACGTAACCCCCCAAGAAGGGGTAAATTTTAGGCAAATGAAAATCATCACACTTCAACTCAATTTCCACAAGGGGGTCAGGGTTTAATATGTGTAGTCACAAAAATGGGGATGGTTAGGAGCAAAATGATTAGGTATACAAATTGTTATCACAGATCTTGAAGAATCCTTCATACACACATCATTAAATGATGATTTTATGTTACAATTAAACAGCATGTAGATCAAGTAACATATCAGATTTCTAAGAAAATACAGATATAGGTTCTGCAAATGTAATATTAAAGTAACCTTTGCTACTTTAAGTTAGAAAATTGAGCTTTTCAGAACTCTCAAATAAATGGTTTCAGAAGTTTAAAACAGTACACATATAGAAAATATAATGCAATAACTTTCTCATCTGTATGTATGAAAGATCTCCATTACACAAATAACTCAAACAATTAACATTTTCCTTACCTGAAAATGTATTTCCAATAGATATCTCTGCATGCAGAAAGCTATCTTTCCTGTGAGTCTGCCTTAGAGATTTGCATGCCAATTTCTGCCTAAACTCTTGAGTTTTCTCGTGATTTGCGCTACTGAATGATGATGTTATTATGCAGCATTCTATGAGGAGGCAAGGAATATGAAGTTGCACCAGAAGTGGAGAGAAAAGGTGGGAAGTGTGTAAGAGGTGAGTATCTATCAGAAATACATTTTCAGATAAGGAAAATATAAACTTCCGAGGTGTTACACACCTTTTCACACAGAAAGCCAGAATCCCATGTTAATATGGTGACCAGTGCAAAAGTTACCTAGATGAGTTCCCTTCAAAAAGTGCACAAAGGAAACCAATGCAGTGTGACACCTGATGGCAGGGGCTCACTCATGGGAGACTACATCTTATCTATTTCAGGGTACACTCTTCAACCAGACTGGAAGGGAAGAAAAGGCAAACAAGTCCCATATGTTGTGGGTACGGGCAGGTTAAGAACATGGCCATCCAAGTATGTGCACACAAAAGGTCAGAGAGTCAATATGTGTAGCATGGCTGGGGCACATTCAGACCATACCAATGCTCATCCAAGCTCTACCATCAGACTTTTTGGACTGACCCTGGCTGCAGGAGGAGGGCATAGGAAGTATTGGTGCATGTTCTTAATTCTACCATCAGACTCATGAAGCAATAGCAGCTATGGAAGGAGTGCACAGAATATATGCCATAGATTGTATGAATTAGTATATACAATGATTCAATGGAAGTCATCCACAGCAGGAGGAGGGCACGATTTATTAGGAAGTGTTTACCTCAACTCAAATGATTGCAGGAATTCGGTGGGTCAACTTGAGTCCAATACCAAGCAGCATTGGGTATGTCTTTTGATCCGTGTTAGGAGGGTCCCAACCATCTTCACTTCATTACCAGGAAGCAGAAGGAAAAAACAATTCCTGTTCTGAGAGAGCACATGTGCAGACCCAGTACACAACCAACACCAGGCCACCGAGAAACCTGACAACAGTAGGAGGAGGATCTCTACCAATCACATGTGAGGACTTATATTGACTGGTCCTACACTGATCCAACACCAGATCACCCAGAAACTGACATCCGAGAAGAAGTAGGATGGAGGACACCAGCATGTTATGAGTATAATTATAAGAGAGGTGACCTGTGCTACACTGACTACGTCACCACTGCCCCACTGATTGGCACCATTTGTTCAGCCCCCAGCTATTAGGTCCCAATCAGTGAAGGTTCTCCATTGTCCACCACCCCACTCAAAGAAAAAGGAGGGAGGAATTCAGGGTGGGAGACCAGGAGAAAATCCCCAAATCCCCATCGGATGCCTGCCAGAAAGGTCTTTTACTGGAGACAGTGCAACAGGTAACTGTGTATACCTATTTTGAAAAGTCAGCAAGCACAATCCAGAAAAGCAAGTAGAGCACTCCATAGTGCTGGCTTTTTCCATGATAGTCCATGAAATACATATAGTCTGGATCTGATAGCAAACAGATATCAGAATATAACATGAGGATACTTCAAGTGGTCTTGTGGAACACTCCACCTCAACAGTGGGCATACATGGAACCAGGGAAGATGGTATGATGCTTTCTATTGTCACGTGATGCTGCTGGCACATTTGGTGCTGGTAGCATGTGTAAAATTTCTCGAACGATCATGAATTATCGGGTAAGCCTGAGTTTGTTTGAGATGTCCTCTTTTTTAATATATAAGCCTGGCAGAGAGTTCCGGGTAATTTACAATTCTGTTTCGAGCTGGTGTGTGTTTTCGAAATTGTGTAATCGCTGACATTTATA